ATATACATACGTTATCCTAGTCCAGTATTTAACCTTTGAGGCCTATGCAACTTGATTTCAGGTTCACATTTTTAAGCACATCATACATTTTAATTCAGCCCCTAAAACTCACTTTTCTTCTTTGGACAAAACTAAAAAGTCTGCAGAGAAAAAATCAGACCAACCATGGCAGCTTGGATAAAATTAAACTGACCATGTAGTCAAACCACCCATTACTACAGCACCGCCACATTATGATCTTATTGACATAGCTCTTCTCTACCAGCTGTAAATACAATTAGTGACCACCATTCCCTGTCAATGCCTAATGTTGACTCCTGTTTTCCAGACCACAGTCACAGACCCTCTTGGGTACACATTAAACTCCTTTTAACCCTAAAGCTGATCCAATAAGTCACATTTTGTGGAGAAAATAAGTGGTTGCTCTGTATTCAAGTGAGGAAACAAACCTTTGGAATCATATTTGCTGTACTACTGCCAGTTAGGGGAACAAAGAATACCTGCGTTCTTAAGTCGTAGGAGAAAAGTATTCCCTTCAAAATATTATCATGCCTTTACAGACTGCTTATATCATCACATTCTAAATCAAACTGGATAAAAGTGGTTTAAAAAAAGATCCAGTGTGTGTTTTCTTAGCCATTTAACGTTTGTGTGAAAGGAAGTCATGTTAAGGTTCAAGCAGAGTTTTTGCAATAATGTTTTTCTGCTGTTAATTTCTGCTGTTTCTTGTGTAATTAGCAGATACTGCATAGTATTGCAGTTTTAGGGTCACTCTGATTTTTTTTTTCCTTTCTCACAGGATGAGGTTACCAGCTACACTTTCATTAAGTGCATGAAACAAATCTTTTTCAAGGATCACTGCTCAGGTTAGCATTGCTAAAGTCAGTACAAGGCCAATGATTCCTAAACAATTCGTAAAGCGCTGGGGTGGGGGGTGGGGGGGGGGGGGGGGGGGGGGGGGGTGGTGGATCATATTTCATCAGGGAGAAGAAGAGAGTCAGCCAAGTGGCCCCAGCCACCTGCCCCCCACAGAGCGCTGCACCACCATGGGCTGCACTACAGGTGAAAAAAATATCATTTCAGAACCCTCAGTGGTTGGAATAACCCCACAACCTGTTAAAACAAAAATCTGCTGTTGAGTTGCCGTGTCCCAGGAGCCTGGAAAAAAAGACTCCATTCACAGAAAGGCAGACTTTGTTCAAGAGTCGCATCCTCATGTTGTGCATCCTGTTTCTATTTCTATGGTGAAAATGTTAAAAGTAACGTGAGTAACGACACAACAGTGTCCAGACATTCTGGCTTCTTGACATTCCTGCGTACTCATCCTCACCACTGAATGAGAATGGACACATTCAGATCTGAATTACAGCAGGTAATTAAAGGGCGTGCGTCATTGCTACACCGAGGTATGTGTGCTCATGTGTGTTATGAAACTGGAACCACGCACCACAGATGGTTTAATCAGGATTATTTACACAGAAATTGTCTGCTAAGACACAAATAAAAAAAGCAATAAATTCTGAGAGAGGTTGTCTGTCTGGTTCTATTATTACAATGATTAGCAACTCCATTTCCCATCACATTTTATATCTTACGCACCCACTAGTGGCAGCTCGCACGTCCCCAGGGGTGTTTGCACCACACCAGTGCATTATTCACTGTCCATAGTTGTAGTACACTTGGCCAAGGCACTGTACTAATGTGGGTTCCACACTTCTGTGGAGCTGTACACCTCCAATAACACTTTTATATTTTTATATTCTTAATACCTGCCATAAAATTGAAATTCCACTCAGCAATACAGAACTTTTGACATTTAAGACAGTGAGGAACTGAGAGAAATCAACGAAAACAAGGAAGGGAGGAACATGGATGGCTTAGTAAACAAAGAAAACATGAAAGAAAAACATAGAAGAACACAAGAGATAAAAAGAAATAATCGGGGAAAACCAAAGACACAGAGGGAAGAGGGAAGAGATACTGATTAAACAGGAGAAGTGGTCCCACATCATCATCATCATCATCATCATCATCATCATCATCATCATCATCATCATCATCATCATCATCATCATCATCATCATCATCATCATCATCATCATCAGCATCATCATCATCATCATCCAGGGGAGGAGTTTACCTTCCCTTTCACAAAGGGCAAATGAGGACAAGAGACTGTGATTGTACGTGTGTGTGCGTGCACATGACATGCAGAGTGCACGTATGTGTGTGCGTGCGTAGCTCAAATCTCAGTTTTATAGGAAGCAGTAAAAACAGCCCTAGTTATCCTCAAAATGGCACACACACTGTGACCTAATGCCACATCTAGTCAGCCACTACAGACAGAGAGGGATCCGCTACTGCATGGAGCCAGTTAAATCTGAGCTTGATGAATATTCCGTTCAGAATTACAACCATACCAAATGGAAACTCTAATGGACAGGACCTGATCCAGTTAACACGGAAACTGTGAAATGAAAATGACTCATAGCAATTAGATGCAATTGGAGAAACTGTGAAGGACAGGACGGGAGCTCTTGTTGATGCATGTGACGGTGATACTCGATCCTCTGTGTGTTCATTCTCCGGCTGCTTTAGGATACAGGTGCAGATATTTTGTCAGTCATCACACACCTACGGCATGAACTGATATGCACACAGAAATCATTAACAAAAGTCGAAAACCTCTTTTCCTCGAGACAGTAATTTCCTGAAACAGAATCTGGGCTCGATGCTGTATCGTGGCTGAGACATTTCTTTCTCCTATCAACGGCTATGCCAGTACAAATCACAGAAACTTTTAGTGTGAGTGTGTCTGCATGCCTCAGTATGTGCAAAAATAGTCACTTAATGCTGCCAGATTCTGACCTCCCACCTATTGCAGTTAGAGAAGTCCCGTGTGAAAGAAAATACGCACTGGTCCTTCGGCAGGAGAATGTTTTGGAAAAGTGTTATTTCCCCAAAGAATCTTTTAAAACCTAGTGGCTCTGGAGGTATGTGGAAAACGGTTGGTCCCAGGTGGTTGGCTGTGAATGAGCCCAACAGAAGTAAATTTCCTTAGCAGAAATGTTAGCGGTTTGTGTTCCAGCATAAATCATGGGCTAATTTATCTCTGATGATGCTTTGGGGGTTGGAAAAGACATGCCTGCACTTCGGGTTGGAAACTAAAATGTGTACCCTTTTGAAAATGGCACTGCCAGATGTAAAAATGAAATATGAAGACCATAAAGGGAGACAAAAGTAAAAAAAGAGTAAGAGACGATGATTATATGGGCTCTCTGTAGGCCAGGGATGAATTTAAAGGCAAAAGAAAGAAACATTACAGGAGCAAAAAGAAGACAGAGGTTTAAAGAAGATAATAGGAATGTCGAAAACAGGAAGATTAACCAGCAACACATGACATACAAACTATATAACATAATACAGGAACTTCCACATACTCAAAATATGTATGCGAAATATATAGATATATGATACCTTATTTGGTATATGTGGAATACTATTGGACCTGAGGAATCATATTTACACCAACCAACCACTTTATTAATTCAAAAGGTTTTGCTCCACTGGGGATTTTTGTGTAGCACAACCATAATTATTCAATTATTTATTTTCTTCTGATGCTTAAGATCAGAAGGGAAAGACCAAACCGGTCTGAGTTGATGGGAAGGTAACAATGTTTTCTGGTAATCTGGAAGTAGGTTTAGAATTAATGTAGACAACATTAGAAAAAGCTGATATCTTGCAAAGATGATATCTCAGTGAAAATGCCAAGGCTGTGGTTTGTACTGTTATACTTCTGTAGTATTAAACTGTAGTCATTAGCTACAGTAAAACTATTTTTAGCAAAACCTCTGCCTTGCAATAACAACTAAATCCTGAAGCAGCACTCGTTGAGGCAGATACATTTCATAGTGTGGCCTCACTGTAAGGGAGTCAGGAAGTGTCGCAGCACTCTCCAGGACTGTGTTAATAATAAGTGTTTTTATTCAACCTGCCATAAACAGACAGCTCAACCTTTAGCTAATACCCGTGTGCTTTGCAAAACTACAGACCAGCAGTCGTGACATTTTGGATTATTGGACCACAGACCTGTCTGCTTTACGTTTGCTATAATCCACATTCACTGATGCCAAACCAAACTGGCAGGAAAGGAAACAAGTAGAAAACAGAGTCAGGCCAACAAGTGTTTAGCACTGTAGCAGGTGTATCTTGTGACTGTAAATCTGTTTGTGTTCGGGGTTCAAGTTGACAAGGCTGAAGAGTTCCCCTCGTTCTCTGTCAGGACAGTTCTGCTCAGGTCTGCCGACACAGCTGACAGGAGAAGGAAATGATACCAAAAGCAGATACTGCACAGACAGTTTTGACCACAGTCAGGGTTGGTATTGCAAAATACACTACGGGTGCACGTGTATGTTGATGTTTTACATTACAAACAGTCATTAAACTGACCTCCTCTAAAATAAAAGATATGCAGTAGTATCATGACTTTTTTGACAGGGGGTGCTATAAGTACTTTAATTTTCTCCTAATCAATATGATCAGATATTTTGGTTGCTTGTTAACAAGAATAATATGGTTTAACTTTGCTCATTTTAACCCCATACATAGAACAAGCAACATACGTTGTGAGACTAGTACTTCCCCATATGTTATGAGGAATGTACCTGGCTGCCAGCAGGAAATCAGTGTTACATCAGTGTCACGATAACAACTGACACAACGAGATCAGGCGTTTTGTGACCACAACAAAGTCTGTGTTTAAAACTCACATTATTAATAAAACATAGCCAGTAACAGAACAACAGAGTTCCGTGACTAAAATAGTAGAATAATAATAATAAATAAATATAAATAATAAGAAGAAACAGTTCAAAGAAAATACCTACTGTACCTTGACCAGCCAATGTCTGGTGTCACTGTTGTAACACATCCACATCATTGAACTATTATTTAGCAAACACTTTTACTGGTAAACCAATATATATAGAACACACACACACATATTTAGCAGTTGTGGTGATTCACTGTCACAGGATACGGTACTTCTCTCTCAGAGAAACTTTGTTCCTCAAGCAGAAAACACATGTGGCAGGGAATCAGAGCCAGAGAAGGCCCCGTCTCATTAGCTGCTTTGGGCCCTAGTTCCCATGAATGGAACTTTAAAAAGTACTTGACATTTATCACGCAGAGAGTAAGTACTGTATACAGTACTACACACTCAATGGAATATCAAATAGGATAATAAAATATCGGGTCAGCTTGGAGCAGCGCTGACCGTTTTGCGATTGCATGTGTGGCAAAAAATTCAACGACAGCTTGACAGCACCATCTAGTGGAATGTTTCTGACAGGTGCAACACAATATCACGGCATGAGATTTATTTCATAAAGGAGCGATTTTGCAGAAATGTTTTGTGCGTCTAGGTAGTTAATTAGGCTCATTTTAATGATGGATAATAAAAAAGTATTTTGTGGTGTAATTTTTTTTAAATGCAAAGAAAATATATCACGCTACAAAGAAAAATCTCGAGGGAAGTCAGTTAACGCGAGGAGAAGTAGATACACTACACAGAGTGAAGCAGGACGACGACCGACCAACCCCCAAGACTGGGGAGCGAGTTCACACATGCGCAGCAGCACCGGCTTCTCTGAGTCAAGAGGGGCAGGAGGGAGAAGATGATGCGGCTGAGCAGTGCGCACGCACTACATGCGTAATTGGCCTACCGTAGTCAATAGATTTATCTTTGCCTTGACTAGTTTATTTGCCAAATTGCCGTTTCATGTCAAAGTTTACCCAGAGAGAGTGTAAAAAGTGACGAGAGGAAAAGGGAGAAGAGGCAGAAGAGCAGGGAGGAGGAGAAAGAGACAAAGAAGACGGCAGCAGTGGGTGAGAGGAGTTGGGCATCAAATTGCACCGGATGTCATTACACGCTTTGAAATATCCAGGACGTAAGTACATTTGAGCGACTTTTTAAATTTCTGAATTGTCTCTGATATTTTTGTGTAATTTGGGATTCTTTTTTCTGCCATATGTTGCAAGGTTTGGAAGATTATGGTTATCTGGTGTTGGTCTTTATCCCCTCTTAGAGCGGTCCAGACACCCACCTGTTCAGTCTGGACCAAAAGCGCACAATTTAGTAAACTTAACGCTTTTGGTTAAAGCATAATTCTTCACGTCATCATTTTATTATAAATGCTGTGCAAATATACAGCACATACAACATTAACGGATTCAGAAGTGCTGCTTCATTGACTTGGTGTTTTCCTAAACTAACTCCATATATAAACATATGCACCGTTAGGAATAAAACAATAATCAAAATTAATCCAAATTAATGTTGCTTTGCGTGTTTCTCATTAAATAATTTACTGCATGTTTTGTTCCTTTTTGGCCACATGGCCAATGTAGCATGTGGATCGCGGGGCATTTGTACTTAGGCCTACATCTAAGCTCGTTGATCAATTGTGTTTAAGCCTCTTGGGCGAAACCTGCTGACACATGTGCCCCAGTCTTTTTGTGCGCACACAAACCCTCTGTATCTGATCTCCCTCTGTAGCCTAACTAAAATCCTGTGTGCACTTGTGGAAGTAACATCCTGTAGCCTGCTGTGAAACACGGAGAACACAGTGAACGCTAACTACAATAAGAATACGCACTAAAATATTTAACAGAAATCTGATCTGGCGACGCCGTTTAATTATAGATTAAGCCAGAGAGACACCTGCTCTCTGCTGAATAAGAAAACTCCCATGTACCGAGGAAAATGATGATGATTATTTACCACGTCATGTCTTTTCCAAATGGGTTTATAAAAGCCACACAGTAGTTTGGACACGTTTGCTTTGTATTAAAAAAACAAGCTTATTTAATAATTCCCTTAGATTACAGACATAAATTCATTTATGTCTTAAGGAACAACTTACAGTACATGTGGTCAAGGTCCTGCAGACGAACAGACAGAAATAAAATTAGCTTTGAATTGACATTTTCACATTAGAATAAATGTTCAATCATAATTCAGTCTGAATCTGAACGACCCAACAGTGGGTCATGGTCATCTTTTGAACTTCCAACACCAAAAGACCTCAACATAGCATAAACTAAAAGAAAAATACTGACACAAAATCACTTTAAATGCCATAGAAAATATTTGGAGTAAATTAAAGAATAGTTTCCATTTCAGTAGACCTTTGAGAATCCCTCAAAACCAACTCCAAAAATGTGTGTTCATTTTTTGTCGTAAAAATAAAAACGTCTGAGTAATACTGGGGTGCTAAGTACTGTGTCCTCATTTCTTGCCTAGTATCCTTCATCTCATTTCTTTCAATTATCTCAAACAGTTGTGACTGGGCTAAAAAAAAAATCAATAGATAAAAGTTATAGACCTCATTGAGGTCACGTTGTTTTTAATAAACTTGGTGCTTGGTGTTTTTTATAAAACGTTTCAGGAATTGCACAGTAGAAGTAGAAAATTCTTACAGTAATTGCAGAACAGCCCTTTACCCTTCTTTAAATATATAATGTTTCCAATGTATTTTGTACAGAGCTCAAAGGTGTTGTTGTAAAAGGTTTTGGGTTTGTGCATTTCAGTTGTTCTGCAGCACGTGCAAACTGACTTGTGTGTGCACATAAGGGATACAATTCAACGCTCCAGCTATCGGTTGTACTGATACAACATGATACTGTATATTTGGCCTGTAATTTCATTTGTGTAGTCATGACTGTTTCATCTCTCCATCTCCGACTGTCTTCCTGCTGCAGTATAATTGGAGACCAGAGGGCGAGCCATGGAGGTTGTAACACATTTTGTGAACGACACTGTAGAATTTTACAAATGGAGCCTTACTATAGCAGGTATGGTCACGTCTGGAACACATCGTGTTGTTCATTTCATGATGACATTGCAAAGATTGCAACCGAATAAACACACAATATATGTTGTCATTCCATGTTGCTACTATTTTGTTTCCTCCTGCACTGACACATACCTATTCTCACTGAAGACAAAAGGGTGGAGAAGTGGCCGATGATGTCATCTCCCTTGCCCACACTGGCCATCAGCTGCCTGTACCTGCTCTTCCTGTGGGCGGGGCCCAAATACATGCAGGACCGGCAGCCCTTCACACTCAGAAAGTCTCTTATAGTCTACAACTTCAGCATGGTTGTCCTCAATTTCTACATCGCCAAAGAGGTCAGTGCTACAGTAATACTACATACATGACAATCTGTAAAGAAATCTCTGCAGGTTTGATGAGTTTTCAATTCTGTCAGTCAAGCGTTGAGGCTGCTTTATTGGTGTTGCACATTTAGCTTTTCAGTTTTCATTTATTAGTAAAGAGTGTCATGCTTAATTCTTTATTCTCTCCTGAAGCTCCTAATAGCCACAAGGGCAGCCGGATACAGCTACCTCTGTCAGCCTGTCAACTACTCCGAGGATGTAAATGAAGTCAGGGTAGGTCGACTTCTACACACACACCAATGTATACGGAAAAATAAATGTGAGCACAGCTGACTTAGAAAGAAATAAAATTGCTACAGGGTTTCCTCTCTGCAGAATCCCCCAGAAACATGCCATCCTAAAACTCCGCCCCCATCTGAGGGCTGGCTCTTACTTGGAGACCCTACTAAAAGATAGGAGACACTACAGTGCAGTCTACAAACATGTGCATCAGAGTCAAATGTAGAACTGGGGCGATGTGTTTTCTGAAACTTTTACATAATTTTCACACACAAATAATTACACTGTCTTCTTCTGCACTGTATTTTTGTATATCTAGATTGGTACCGATTACAACAGGAACTCAGGACTTTCAGATGTTGTTGTATTAGCATTACATAGTAGATCATGTAATACACTGAATTTATTTTTCATTTTTACACTCATACGAATGGAGGTATAACACGGGAGCGTTAGACCCTGCACTGTGATTGGTCACTCTGCATGCTAAAGTCATTTTATAGTTTGCAGAGATTTGCTGTCACATGGTGGCCTTGTCTGAAACAAGTAAACAATACAACATATCCACAGTGAGCAGCAGTCCACTGTCTTCTGTGCTGTGCTTGCAGATAGCATCGGCTCTGTGGTGGTACTACATCTCCAAAGGAGTGGAATTCTTGGACACAGTTTTTTTTATCCTGCGGAAGAAGTTCAACCAAGTCAGCTTCCTCCATGTCTACCATCACTGCACGATGTTCATCCTTTGGTGGATTGGCATTAAGTGGGTACCAGGAGGACAGTGTGAGTAAATAGGACTATATCCAGTCTATTAACTGTATAAATAATTTACCTTAAAAACACAATATCTATCCGATAACTACATGCAACTTCAACAACCTTCACAGCATTTTTTGGTGCAACCATCAACTCTGGAATACACGTCGTCATGTATGGTTACTATGGTCTGGCGGCACTTGGACCTCACATGCAAAAGTACCTGTGGTGGAAGAAGTACCTCACTATTATTCAGATGGTGGGTGTACTGCGAATACTTTAGTTCCGACATTACTATTTAGTATGTGAAAGGTGTTTTGGCTGTTGATTCATGACTACATCCTCTCTTTATCAGATCCAGTTCCATGTGACCATTGGTCACGCTGGCTACTCCCTCTACACCGGCTGTCAGTTCCCGCTCTGGATGCAGTGGACTCTGATTGGTTATGCTGTCACCTTTATCATCCTCTTTGCCAACTTCTACTACCATGCCTACAGGGGCAAACCTTCCTCGTCACATAAAGGTGGCAAGCCAGTAGCAAACGGCTCAACTACGGTAACTAATGGTCATAGCAAGGCGCAGGAAGTGCAGGAAAATGGCCAAAGGCAAAAGAAAGGAAGAGCAAAAAGGGAGTAGAGGTGGAGGTCGGGTTTGGTACAAAACAATTACAGTAAAAACACAGTTTAACAGGGCAGAAGGAGTAACCACAGGGTCTTAACCAGATCACTATCCAGGCAACAACGATGTGATTTGTGCCCAAGAAGGAGAATATAACTAAATATGTATTGGTTGTCATAAACAGGGTCTGGTTTTGAGGAGCAAAGATTAGTGTTGTTTTACTCCATATCATTTTTTTTTACAAAATTAAGGAAAATTTGGATTATAAGGTCCAACTGTGTTGTGGATCCTAATAGAACAAAAAAGTATTACAATACCCACAATCTGCTCATCATTTACTATCAAATAACTTTTACTTTTTGTACTCTGAAATCAGTGTTATTTTAAATGAAGGCTTAAATAGACTTGAATATGCTAATTTATTTTCTAGCGCTCTAACGTTTTATTGAGAAAGCTAATATCAAAATACATCACGTACTAATGTTTTAACCAAAGACTTTTCTTCAGTGTCAGAAAAGTGTTTGTTCATAAATAATCACATATGAACCACGCCTGCAATTTGTTCTTCACATTAATGGACTTCACACTTGTATGTACTACTTACAGACTGACACACTGGTTTCTTTATGTTCTTTGTGAATTAGTAGGTTATGTTATGTGTCCTGGTGGTTTATTTCTTTATGCTGTGCAGTGTAGCTAATGCGTAAGAATAAGATTTTTTTTTTAATGTAAACTTAATATATTTTTAAACAGAACGAGAAGAATCCGCTTTGTGGCTGCACATGTAAAGGAAATAAAAGACCCTGTGAAGTACCGCCTTTAATTATTTCTCTCCTCCCAATTCTTCAGTACACTTATCTTCATCATGGAACTGAAAGAAGGCAGAGAAATTGTAGGTTTGTGGGTCTGTCTGTGGGTTAGCGACAGAGTGGCAGAGAGGCTCTACTGTATCTTTAGCCTGTCCAGACAGATCGGCCATAATCTGTGGGGGTAAATTGGCTTTAGCTTCAAAAGAGCTTATTTCCACGTCACTTCATGAGTTACCCAGGAAAGCAGGTCACAGGAAGAGAAGCCTCTGCTAATCTGCCTCCAGGTTGCCAAAGCTCTCAAACTTTAAGGAGTAATTAAAATTCGGTTTCAATGTGGAGTTTACATCCATGATTACATTTTTTATATTAATAACATAGCACGTGACAGAGAAGTTAGTTTTTTTTTTTTTTGCCAACTAAGTTGTTATCCTGTTCTACATCAGTTTCACCACTGGAGTCTCTCCGCCCATGTTATTATAGGGGAGGTGGAAGGAGATCTGAATGACTGACTGGATAAGGGGAGTGTGATTAGGGTTTATTCCTCCTTCCTCTGGGTCATATATGGACAGGGGAGTAAGAGGATTGAATGGTGCCTATAAGTATTTGAGAAAAGGTCAAAGTAACTCGTGTCCTTGTTGCTATATGTACTGTATATCCATGTTCTATGGACTTCATGAACACTTAAAGGGCAAAACAAAGATGACTTGCATAATTATCGGTATACGCAAACTTAAAACTGAGCACACACAAGTGTTTAATTAGCTCTCTGTCATTAGCAGATCAACACAGACAGTTAGAGGGTAAAGGGTAAGTTTATTAGGGTTAAATCTTTGCAAACCTGAGTAGTCACTCTCATGTCATTAGCAGTAAAATAAATGATTGGGAGCGCCCTCTAGTCTGTCACTGTGGAACTGTCAGGGTTTCTCTAATAGACTTCTCTCAAACCAGCTTACGTTACTAGACTTTTCATTAACTCTCTACCCAGGGTTAACATTACGGTTGCCATCTTTCTATAATGAAAATAAGAGCCATGCCTACCACAGGTCTGGCATGTTTTATTTATTTGACACAAACAGTACGCTCTAACAACAATTTTGATCCAGGATATATATATATATATATATATATATATATATCACCTGCAGATTTGACTATGAACAGGGACTAAGCTTGAGGAATGTCTTGTACAACTCGACAATACAATCATGTTACATTTCACTTCTGTTTTTTTTATTTCTACAGAAAATGTATAAATAAAAACATATATCCGGCGGCGGGGGGTTCGGCGACCCTGCGGGGGGCTCGGCGGCCCAATAAAGCAGAGCAGCGGATTGGGGGGAGGGTGGGTGCACAGCGGCCAGACAGGAAGGAAAAAAAGAGAAATCGACGCTCCCTACTGTGTTGAAGAGCTTCAAGATGATCAATCTGGGAAATAAACCAAGTGAGAAACGAGTCATGTTAAGTAATTAAGTTTTGGTGAGAGCACATTTGTCAAATAATTGATTATTAAATTATATATTATTAATAATATAAAAACGTGAGTTTGACTCCACACGGTTCTCACCTTGTCTCTCAGTTTCAGGGTGCACTGTGACGCTGCACAACCTCAGTCGGCTCTACGTGCTCAGAAATCCCAACGCATCTGTTCATTTCAAACATTGTTATGTTTTTCCACTAAGTCACTGAGTCGAAATGCAAAAAGTAGGGAATAAAAATCCAAAAGTCACAGACCTCTCTGCCTCAGTCGTTCATCTGGACCCGCCGTCGAGTCGTCAATTAGGAATAACTCTGTACACGTGTGGCTTTTAAGAGAGAGCGAGCGACAAATATATGGAACGGAAAAATATACAGAATATCTATTTATATAAATGTCTTTATATATAAATTTATATATATTATTTAGGCTATACATTTTTATGTATTGAGAGCAGCAACAGTGCATCCATCTGTATATTAGGAGGCACTTTTTATTTATCTCCTTGATCTAAAAAAGTTTAAAAACTGTTCTTCTCTATTTGACATACTAAAACCTAAAATAAGGTTTAAAAGGGACATAATACTGACATATATAAAACATGTCAGGAACTGGAGTCCTTTATAATGTAGTTCTAGATTTTAGCCTAGAAAGTGTTTTATTATTTTATTATTATGACAGTGACTTGCTTCCTGGTATGACGTATAGTTCTACGTCACATGGTCCGTGCCCCTGCAGTGTCGGATGGTGACCTGTCAGCGCAACTCAGCATAAATATTCATGGGGTCTAAATAAAACCTCGAACACACGTATTAAATATATATTCTTAACAACATGACGTGTTGGATTAGAGTCAGTCTCACGTGTTTAATTTGCAGCTTAAAAACAGCAGATCTTTACTTTTAATTCGTAGCATATGGCTCAGCAATGATTGTAGCAGAAAAAAGTGTGAAAAATGCGACATCTAGTGGCTCATCTACAGGACCTCACCCTGGTTTTACTTTGTTCTCTATGTCTTTGAATAGCAGGACATAGTTTGAATCAATCTGAGCTGAGTAATTCCAAAGGTGTGCACCTTACAGACAGAGCACTTTTACAACTTTTTTCTTCTTAAAAATGTTTTGCTGTTGATTTTAATGGAGCAGGAGATGAAGCCTGCCGCCAGCGGCGCTGCAGATCCTCCATCATCAGCAGCACCAACATCATCAGCCGACACTAAAGCAGGGAGGAGGAGGCAGCACCGGGTTGCCACTGAAGGGGCGACCGAGCAAACCCCCAGACCTGGCAGGCGAACGTCTTCTCTCACCACAGGAAGGAAGAAAAACACGGGGGTGAAGGAGGTGGAGCTGCGGAGCCGCGGTGTTGGAGCAGTTCATCCTGATGGTGCTGAGGCTGAATCACTGAGACCAAACAGGGCGGATGCTTCAGAAGATCCCACACATTCAACGTCAACTTCGGCTCGTCGACTGAATTTGCGCCTACCCTGCTCCCAGCAGCGCCCGCTGCCTTCATCCTCCTCCACTGTGAGAGTAAAAGAGAAGAGACCCGAGTTGGAGAAGGGAACTCAGCGAGGGAGAGGCGGAGACTCCCCGGGCTGCGGATCGGGCCTCGGCTTGGTTCTGTGGAGAGGGAGATGCTTACAGGCTGAACTGATCCACTTCCACCTGCAGAAGAGACTGAAGAAAAGCGGCGCGAGGATGCAAACCAGAGTGGAAAACATAAGCCCGGAGGAGGCCGCAGAAGGAGAGCTGGAGCCGGCTGCTGAGGCCACAGAGGCGGGGACAGTGACACAGCCGGAACAGGCCTTTCAGGACGAGATGGAGAGGCTGCTGGAGGAAAATGAAGATCTCAAGGTTTGACGAATATCAAAAATAGCAAATGTCATCCGAACATAACAGTAGGCCGAAGGATTAGACTGCCACAATGTTTACATCTGAGCATCATTTCTTACGACATAGCAACTAAAACATTCAGGAAAAAACAGAGACAGCATTTGTTTTATAATCTTTCTAATTCTTAGTTATAAATGTATCAAAAAAAAATCAGTTATATTGGATGTATCCCGGCCGTGACATGTTGTCATTTTAATGAAGACTAGTCAAATAGGAAGTTGCAACCATTTGCTTGTCTCAAAACAAGTGCCACTAGGTTAAAAAAAAAAAAAAGCAAACAACTGAGGTACTTTAAATGACAACAGCATGGGAATCCTATGTTTATTTGTGTTCCACTAGTATGAGATCGAAGAGATGAGGAATGAAATGGATGAAATGAGAGACACTTTCTACGAGGAAGACACTTGTCAGCTGCAGGAGATGAGGCGTGAGCTGGAGAGAGCCAATAAAAACTGCAGGATCCTGCAGTACCGCCTGAGGAAGGCTGAGAGGAAGAGGCTGCGCTACGCCCAGACCGGAGAAATTGATGAGGAGCTGCTCAGAAGTCTGGAGCAAGACCTGAAGGTGCAGAAAGGGAGAAAGTTTGTATTTCTAAAAAGCCATTCTTATAGAGATACCAACTGTTTTGGAGGATGTGTAAAACAAAAGCACTCAGAGGAGTGAGAGACATTAAAACAGAGACATTAAAAATCAGTATTTGCAAAATAATTGGATGTGTAAAACAAAAGCACTCAGAGGCAAAATAATTAAAAGGTTTAAACATTAAAAGTCAGTATTTGCAAAATAATCCCTGAGGTAACAGTCACTTTCATATTGGCTGGTGTGTTGTTGTGTCTTGATTCTGTAGGGATTCTTCCATGCTCTGCCTGCATTTATTTTCCTTTTGCAAGCTGTTGGAGCGCAGACATTGATAGGTCACTGCCTATTTGAAGTTGCAGTTTTTCAGTGAAACTACATTCCCTGCAGGTGGCCAAGGATGTGTCTGTGAGGCTGCACCACGAACTGGAAAAAGTGGAGGAGAAACGCACCAGGACAGAGGAGGAGAATGAAAAACTGAGGCAGAAGCTCATAGAGGTGGAGGTGACCAAACAAGCCCTGCAGAATGAACTAGACAAAGCAAAAGAGGTATATAGATGTGAAACCACAGGAGTCGTATCAAAGTTACCATACCAGAATCCATGACAACAGTGTTGCTCTGATTATAGTCATTTTAACCAATAACAAATGTCTGAAGAAAAATATGATTTCAAACACACATTTTTTTAAAATTAACTTGCACTGCTCTAGTCTCAGAAAAGACGAGGAAGCAAAGACATCCAGAAGACCGACAAGAAGGCAGCACAGACTCCTACAGAGGTGAGTTGTAAGGGCAGAACTGTGTGCATTCTCCTTGTAAAAATCAACCTTGTAAATGATTGAGAGTATTTATAATAATTCAACAATTTGTAAAAGAAATATATAAATAAAATAAAAAGCCTTTAGAATCACCAAAACCAATTACCTGTACATTAGGATTAGGTTTTATTATGTCATTTTTAAACTTTCTTTTTTTGAAAGCACTAATAATTACTTGCTGTACTCCAGGAGGACAATGAGGACCTCAAGTGTCAGTTGGCATTCATCAAAGAGGAGGCCGTGCTCATGAGGAAGAAGACTGCCAAGATTGACAAAGAGAAGGATCGCATTGAACAAGAGCTGCAGAAGTACCGCTCCTTCTACGGAGAACTGGACAGCACTCATCCCAAAGGAGAGGCGGGAGGTCCACCCACCACTCGTGAGTCTGAGCTAAAGCTTCGTTTGCGGCTAGTGGAGGAGGAGGCCAACATCCTGGGGAGGAAAATAGTTGAGCTAGAGGTAAAAGTCAATGTTTACTAAGTTTTTATAGAAAAGTTGACAACATGTTTTGTGAGCATGTCTCCCACTTCTCCGCAGGTAGAAAACAGAGGACTCAGGGCAGAGCTTGATGATCTCCGGGGTGAGGCGGAAGGAGCAGGAAGCTCCGGATGTGAAGCGATGAGTGGGTCTGGGAGCAGCCGGGGCCTCGGAGATGATCTGACGGAGCTAAGACAGCAGCTACAGCTGGTGGAGGATGAGGCGGAGCTGCTGAGGAGGAACCTTGCTGATGTTGAGGAGCAAAACCAGAGGGTGACCACAGAGCTGAACAAGTTAAAATTTAAAGCAGGGACTCATGAGGGAGGCAGCAGGCATGGAGGTGGAGGAGGGACAGGAGGCGCCGGGGTTGATGGAGCCAAGACAGAGGCTCTACAGGAGGAGCTGAAGGCAGCGAGATTACAGATTAATGACCTCAGTGGAAAGGTATGGTCAGATTGTAATATATTTGTTTGTATTTAATCATAAACAACTGTAACCTTATGTCACCCCGGTCATTTACAGATGTGTTGAATACTGCGTGATGTTTTCAGTGATAAAAATACGATTTAATCATTGTCTTTCCAAAGGTGATGCAGCTGCAGTATGAGAATCGTGTCCTGCTCTCCAACATGCAGCGTTATGACCTGGCTTCCCATTTCTCCCTGCGGCCCAGCCCACGGGACAGTGACGCAGAGAGCGATGCAGGTGGCGCGCCAAGTGGCCGCCGTGAGAGCGACGAAGACTCCTCCTCCTCCCGCCTGCTTCCACCTCACCGCAAACGGGAAGGTCCTGTAGGTGGAGAAAGCGACCCAGATGAGGTCAGAAACAATAACGGCAGCAGCCCGTGCCCGCCGCCCACACCGGGCCTCCACACCT